GGCACCCCCATTCAGCCCGGACGGGTGCGAGCACCTCCCAGACGTTGTTCGGGGCTTGTTCTGTAACGTGACTGCGGTCGGATGCCTCGGGAACGGAGGCAGGTCATCACCATGCGATCTGCCTGCAGCCACCGGATTTCCAGATGCTAAATCAGAGGCCAAGAGGCATTCCAATCCAAGCCGTGCATGGCCAGGGAGCGAGTGGGTGGGTGTGTGGGGGCGTGCGGAAAGCCGAGCGGGCGTGTTCCCCTCCGCCTGCCCGTTTATCTGCTGATGAGGGCACCGGTGGCGGTAGGTGCGTTGCATGTGTAACGTGTTCTGGGTTTTGTTTACTAATACAATTCGGCAGTGGCCCTCTGGGACGGGTGAGATCTGCTTCCACCACCTCCGTGCATGTCGGGAAAAATGCTGCGAATGGATGACAAAAGTTTTAACTTTCCTTTCAAAAGGCTTTTTGCAGAACTTTGCCACCGTTTGGCGAGTTGCACAAGTACAAACAGCCGTCTCCTGCCGGCTTGGCACTCACATGACTCAGAGGAAGCTCGGCTGTAAACAAAGGCGCTGTGATGAGCAGTTACCATGTTCCCACTCACTTTTGGTGCAACGGTCAGATAATTCCCTTTGCAAAATGGCCGCTGGGCATGCCTTCTTTGGGGAGCCCTGCTGGGGAGGTGTTGTCTCCTTACTCCAGCGTGCTCTTGCCCCTTGCCTGTGATATTCTGAGGCTTTTGTTATTCTAGTGTAGTACCCATTTGCTGACTGGCCCCGCATCTGCAGTGAGTATAAATTGGTGGAGTTCAGGCAAGCCCAGGGGTAATTTATGCTGTCTTCACTCACAGTCTCTGTGGGTTCAAAGTGCTGCTCCAGGGGTGCGGTGTGGGTCGGAGCAGCCCACTTGCACCCTAAGGACATTGCTTATCCCTGTAACACCACCGTGCAGAGAGGTGTTCTGCACAGTGGGGCCGAGGTGAGCTGGATGGCCCAGTGGCAAGATTGGGTTCACCCGGCTCTGCGCCTCTGTCCTGGCATCCTTCTGCCCTGCCCAGAACCTCTCCTGCCTTGGCACGTGCTCCGCTCACTGCTTGTGACGGCCAGACAGGGAGCAGGAGCCTGGGGTTTTGGGTCACTGGCAGGAGGGAAAGGGATGGTGGGATGCTGGTGTTTTGGCACTGCTTTCCTGGGCTTTTGCTGCTTTGGGGCTGCTCTGGGGCCATTGTGGCTAGCTGGGGAGGTTGCAGTGGGGGCTGCGGAGAGGGTTTGCTGTACGTGGTATCCTGCTGGCCCTGGGAGACCCAGAGTTTGTCCAGGGGGAAGGAACATGATCCAGGACAGCAAGCAGGGCAGGAGGTCAGGAAGCGGTTGGGGATGCAGCTGCCTTTGATGGAGCATGAGCTGATCAGAGCCTGTACTGTACTCGGGGGCTTGACAAGGAAGCTGTTTATTTTGCGCGTCCCCCCCATGTCTGGGGAATGGGGTAGTTCATGGGCAGTGTGTAAATCACCTCTCCCACTCACCGTGGCGACCCAGTGCAGGCTCTCCTGTGGCGCGCCCAGCGTGGTTTGGAGCTCTCGCAACACTGTGAGCTTTGCCGTGCTTCCAGGGACAGCTGCGGTGGGTGCCAGCAGGAACGGCCGTGCCAGCCCAGCCCTCCGGCAGCTGGAGCAGTGCCATGGCTGATCAGAGAGGGAGGTTTGCAGACCGAAGAAAGCAACTTGGAGCGTCTCTGGGTTAAGGCTGGTACTTGGTCTCCAGTGCCGCAGGTGCTGGCTTTTTGGGAGAAGCCAGGGAGGGCAGCAGGTACTCTGCTATGGCTTGAACCCAGCAGGCTACCAGGGACGCACTTCAAAGTTTGCAGAGTGTCATGTCGGGCTGAGTGGTGGATCAGGCTCCTTCCCAGGCAGAAGAGTATTATTCGGCTTTGTTATGTGCCAGTTGCCCCTGGGGCTGCTTGGGAAGGATAAGAAGAAATAAGCTTTAAAAAAACCCCACCCATTCCTTCCTTTTTCCTGGTGCTAAGTGTTGTGTCTGTCGTAGGGAGGTGGTGTGTGGGGAACAAGATGAGGAGCAGGTGTCTGGCTCTGCTCACTGTGTCCATGCTTGGATTTTCACTTCCTCTTCTGATGTATTTATGTTTTATTGAGCCCCTTGCCCTTTCCTTTGTGGCTCAAGGGCAGGGTGCCCCCAGGGCTGCTTTAGCACCCTGGGCTGACAGCAGCTGCAGCTCTTGCACACAGTTGAGACAGACCAGGTGCAAATGCAGCTTGGGCAGTGATGGGCAAGGGATCAAGCAGCACCTGGGGTCCCATCGGAGCGACTGCGGAGGGCTGGGTGTCCTGCTCCTCCAAGCTGAGCTGGTTCTGCTCAGCACCCGGGTCTCCTTGCATTCATCTCCCCACCTGGCCCCTGCAGCCATCCTCTCTCTGCCTGGGTCACCACAGGTGCCTCTTGGCACCCTGGCAGGATCTCTGTGTAATCTGCCTCTTGTGAAGCTCCTGGTTTTGCATCCTGGAAGGGGATGCCATGGTCTGGTCGCCTGCCAGGTGTGGCCAGGCAGTGGGTGTGGGGCTGCCCTGCTGCCACTCATCACCCAGAGTGATGGGGCCTTTGGTCCAGGGTCAGGGCTGAGCTGCGGCTCAGGCTTCTTCTCAAGGAGAGGAGCCTTAATTGGCTTTGCTGTTGCACTGGTTGCCCCTGGCACTTGTGACGCTGGCTGGAGACCAGGTGGCATCAGCAGTGTTGGTTACATGTGTGTCCCTGGCACCCTGTGCCACTGAGGACGTATGTGTGTCGGCCTCTTGCCCGCCTGGGTTGGGGCTGCTGCAGGTCCTGGGTCCCCTGGGAGGTGGCAGCTATTCTCCACAGGTGGTGGGCATTGCGGTGGGCAGAGGGGTTGCTTCTGCCACTCTTGGGAAGGGGCAGATGGCAGGGAGGAGACACAGTGTTTTAGGCAGAGGGGCCTGCAGTGGTGGAGTGCTTCCTCCACCTGGGTCACAGCTTTCATCCCAGCACCGGCAGGGATTGGTGGGCAGCTGAGGGGGACAGTGGGGACCTTCCCTGCCCCTGTCTGCTGGTGGCACGGTCCCAGATACGAGGCCATTTGAAAACAGGAGCACAGAGCAGATTTAATCAGCTTATGGTACCTGGCTGTGCCCACACCTCTGCCTTTGCTTCCCGTTTGCTGTTACCCCACTTTCTTATCACGATCCTTTCTGTCTGAGTGATAGGGCCTGTGGGTGCTGACATTGGACCTCACCCAGGACGAAGGGTAGTGCGGTAGTTGGGGTTTCGCTGCCTCAGAAGCGTCTGTGTCTCCGTTGGCTGTTACCTTGATTCCTAGATGTGTGCCAGGCTGTTCAGAACTGGCCTCCAGGGCCACAGACTTATGGGCATCGCTGAAATCCAGGGGGTCCTGCCCATCCGTGCCGAGGGCTCTCGGGTCGCAGCCTAGCTGGGTACTGTTATTAAATGCAGACAGAGAAATGTGGCTATGGCGGGGAAGAGCCTTGCCAGCCCAGCTATTGCATGTTCCCCCCCGAGGTTTGGGAGCTGCCAGACTCTACAGCAGCAATTGCTTCCCCCACCCAGGTCTGGATTATTGTTTGCAGATACTGCTCCTGGCTGCCACCTGGTCTGGCTGATAGTTTACCCCCCCGTTTAGCCAGGAAACCGTAAACCCCGCAGTGAGTGGCTGGCACGGGCTGTCCAGCTCCCTGGTGGTGCGAGCACAGCCTTTCCTTCGCCTTTCCAGGGCCTGTCAGCTTGGGTGTTTGGGGCCAGAATAGTTTTCCATCAGATCAGTGAACTGAGCTGACTTGCCATCGTTCATCCTGTCCCTAGGTGTGACGCAGGAGCGTGTGGCTGTGGGCACCGGGACGAGGAGTGTGTGTGGTGGTAGGACTGCGGCTGCTGCAGTCGCACAGGGTTTGGTACAACCTGCCTTGGCTGTTTCCAGGTTTTTTCTGGTTTTGGTTTGTTGGGTTTTTTTTTAGCAGCTTGGGTCACCCCAATCACCAGCTTGCAGGAAGGGAGCAAAGTCTCGGGTGTTTTGGCAGCGCCTGGCCGCAGCCCTGTGCCTCGCACCCCAGCTTGTAGACCTGCAGGCCAGGCTGCCTCTGGGGCAAGGGTTGAATGGGAGTCGATGAGGGCTTTTCCTCCAACCAGAACTGAATCTAAACCATTTCTCTAACATTTCTATGAAGCCTGATCTGCAGCTGAATCAAAACATTGTTTTCTAGCCCTCACCCTGGCACAGAACAGGAGTCAGCTTCACCTTCCACCGGTCCTGCATACCCCCAAAGCTTCTGCTCCCTGTCTCTGCTGCTCCCAAACCTGGGCAGGTGTCTGCCCTCCTGGTCAGCTCATGCACACACCGTTCCTGCCCTGCTTTTGGCATTTGACATTTACCAGATTACTACTGGGCTGAATTGGAAGCTAAGCAAAGTGATGTCAGTCGTAACCATACCCTGCCTGCGACTGAATTGGAAATGCTCTGTATGTGGGGTGGGCTACGTCTTGCAGCCCCAGCCCTGGGGATCTGCCAGATGAATGTGATGACCACGATCTTGTCCTGTTAAGGCCAAGCATCTAACCAGTAGGCACTGGGCTTCCCCTGCTGGGTTTGGATTTGGTTATCCTCCTCTCCCTGCAAGCAGCGGTTGCAGAGCGTCATTGTGAGTTGTGAAACACCCGCCAGGGTCTGCTCCAGCAGTGGCCGCTTCTCAGCAACAAGCACAGTGATCCCAAATACGTGTGGTTGCCACCTGCCCTGGTGCAAGCAGATGGCAGGCACCCATCCCTGCTTGGGGACGTGGGAGCAGCTATGTGCAGTGCACTCCCGTGTGGCCAAGGGGACTGTGGGCAAGGGGGCTGTGGGCAAGGTCCAGTCCCCCCCGGCTGGATTATCTTTGGGGTCTTGCAAAGCCCTGCCATTGTGTGCAGGGATGCTGTGGGTGCCGAGTTTGTGTGCTGGTGGTAACATCATCTGTTTTTTTTCTTTGCAGACTGCTCTCAGTGCTTTTTTCCAAGAAACTAACATCCCCTACAGCCACCACCATCAGATGGTAAGTGCTTTCCCACTTCTCCAGTGTTCATCCAGGGCACAGCACCAGCTCGCTGCTTCACAGCTCCAGGAGTGCAGGCAGGGAGGTCTGCCTGGGCGCTGCCAGAGCTGCCTGCCAAGGAAGGTATTCTGAGAGAGCAGCTGGGGGTGGTGTCACCTGTCCTACATAGTGCGCTCAGAACCCTGCGTAGGGGTTGGGGCTGCTCCTCTGAGAAGGATAGTCCAACAGAGGTTGCTTTGGGCATGTCCAGCAGTCCAGATCAGCCCCAACGTGGCAGAGGGGGAGCCTGGAGCACCGTCCCATTGTAGGCTTTGTAAACACAGGCACAGATATGTGCATGCTTCCCACCCCGCAGCCCAGCCACACATGCAAGTCCTCGTGTGCTCACTGGAGCAACCGAGTGTGCAAATCCCTGGAGCCTCACTGGAGCATGCCTCTAGTACAGCGTGCACGGTGTCTGGCTGTGTGTAAACACAACAGAGCACGCACGTGGGTGCTGCCTGCCTCCACTCTCTCCCTGCTGTCCCCAGGCTCGGTCCCTCTACTCTTCTGCCCCGGCAGCCTGTAATCTGCTTGGGCAGATGTGTCTTAGGGATTTGCTGGCTGCCATGGCCTCATTTGACTCTCCGGGGCAATTGGGGATTTAGAGCGTGCAGTAAGCATGCAGAGCAAGTGCCTGGCAGGGCCTGGGCATGCTCGGTCTCCCATGGGGTGGGAGCTGAGCCTGAGCCTTGCACCCACCCAGCCAGAAAGCTGCAGGCCCGGGGTGGCACCAGCGGGTCATGGAGTAGAGGGTATCCCCAACTTGGCTGGGCGCAGGAGGGAGTGCAGCGGGGTCTCGTGTGGGCCCTCTGACAGGAGCCGTCACCGCAGCTTTAGTCTTCAGAGCCTTAAATAACTGCTGCTTGCGGGCAGCATCGTCAGCAAAGTGCGAGGCTGGGGGCTCCCTGTGCCCCAGCAGCGGGGGCAGAGGGGTCTTGTGCTGGGCCCTGGTGGGAGGCAGAAGGTGGAGACCCCTCCTCATGCCTGATCCCGTGTCTTCTTCCCGCAGATGTGCACTCCTGCCAACACGCCGGCCACGCCGCCCAACTTCCCCGATGCCCTCACCATGTTCTCCCGCCTCAAGGCCTCCGAGAGCTTCAACAGCAGTAGCCCTGTGGCCTCCATGGCGACTTCCCCGCCGCCCCCGGCCCCGCCGCTACCCCAGCACGGGGCTTTTTTTTAGCTTCGCCCCCCGGCCAGCAGCAGAGCATGTGGACTCCGGCCCCCCCGGCGCAGCCTGCGGGCTGGCCAGCCGCCGTCTCCCAGCAGGCCACGGCAGAACAGAAGGCCAACGTGACCATGGAGGCAGAGAGATGAGGCCGCGGCAGAGAGCGAACGCGGCGGGGACCCCTGCATATAAATTTTTTTTTCTCTTTTTTTTCCCCCTCCCTGAAGAGGAGAGGAACTCTGCTGCCAGGGCATCTGGCAGCTGCTGAGACACACAAGCAGATAGCTGCCTTGCATGGGTTTGGTTTGAAGTAGTTTTTACTTGTCCTCAAGCTGAACGGAGCTCCCCAGAGACAGCAGCAGGCTGCGTGGGACACGGGACCGGTGCTGGCCTCTGCCTGGGACCCAGTTGCTGCCAGGCTCTCCGGGAGGGAGCACCCCCTCCTCTCTTGGGACACCGGAGTTTGCATGCGAGTGACATTTACAGAGGAGGTCCCTTCTTCATGGTCCCCTGGGCACCCCACCAGGCAGAGTGGGTTGTGCCTGCGTGTTTCCCCCCATCTCTTGGCTCCACTCGACTGGGTGAGGGGCAGACACCCCATGCGGCTTATTTTTTGTAAGGGGGGCAGAGAGCCAGGGCTGTTCCTGCTCGGCCGCAGCCTCCACCCCACGTGTGCCGTGCTCGCTGGTGAGCAGGGCTGGGGACACTGGCTCCCAGGGAGGTGTCTGGCCCCTCACCCAGCCCCAGCAATGGAGAGCAGGGGGTGAGCCACAGGTGGCCCGGCTGGGCCAGCACCCTCTGCCCTTGTCCTCCTGGGATGGGGTTTGCCCCGGGGCTGTTTGCATGACACAGTGTAACCCTAGAGACTGGGATGGTTTTTAACCCCTCTGTTCTTTTCTCCCGGTGGCTGGAAGTCTCTCCGGACACGCCGCAGCCGCTTGCAATACACGCTCTTCTGCTTTGAACCTGGTGTCTCTGCTTCGTTTGCAGCGGCGGGATGCGGGATAGGCTGGCCTGGGCCCAGGGTGTTTCAGGGTCCCCTCTCCGAGTGGCTCTGTGCGTGCCGTGTCTCTGCTGCGCGTGTGCTGCTCCAAACACCCTGTCCCAGCCGTGCAGACACGGTTGCCTTTGGCCAGGTGCATGCCAGGGCTCAGCCCCAGCAGAAGGCAGCTCTGCCCACTGCCCCACCACATCAGCTGTGGGTGTGAAACCCTTCCAGGAGCAGGGGCAGGCTGATGGCAGGGCTGCAGGGAGACCTCAGGCTCCCTGTATGACACCCACAAGGTCCTGGGTGCCTTGCTGTGACGTGGCTCCTTATCACCTCTTCACCAGATGACAGGGGCTAGGTCCCTTGGAGGTTGCCATCCCTGCCAAGTCCTCTCCCCGTGAGGTTGTCCCCCTGCATCCTTGTGCTCCCCAGTCAATAATTTCAATCTCTTACTTGTGTTGCTAAAATAAATGTAGGAGTGATGGTTTCACCCAGGCTGCCTCTTGTACAGCCTTGGCAGAGGCTGGGAGCAAGGGCTGGAGCTGGTGCTGGCCCTTGTAAGCTTCCCTGTGTGGGGTTGTGTCAAAGCTGCATGCCTCAGTCCTATGCCACCGAGGTGGACTGGGCCGAGCTGGTGGCATCCAGAGTGAGCTGGGGCTGTGGGCCTCATGAACCCAGCTGGGGTGGCCTGAGCACAGCAAGGCCAGCGTGGAGTCTTGCTAGGAGTGGGGATGGTCTGCAAGGCAGGGGCTGTGCAGCATAGAGCCCATCTGGGGGAGACAGAGAAGGGATCTGTCCCCAGCCTTGGAGAGAGGCACCTGCCTGTAAAACAGGTGAAGCCACATGGAGACCTGGGTGGCAGGGAGGGGAACCTCCCTGTGACTGTCCCAGGGCCACCAGGAACCACAGGACTGGAAAATCCAGGGCTAGACCACAGACCTGAACATCGGACTAGTCAGCGCTTACAGGGATGTGGCACAGCCCAAAAGCATCAGGCTCTGGTCGCTGCATCCATGAGGATGCCCCATGTGTCCCCGTGAGGCCAGGGACTGCACAGGAGAGGCAACAGAGGAGGGAGCATATTTATGACCAGTGGTGGTGCCCCACTGCAATGAGCAGCTGCCAGGGCAGTGTTGCCCCCCACCCCACCAGTCCCCCGAGGCCAGGCAGCACAGTCCTGGTGCGCCTGCCTCCTCCCCAGATCCCCACGCTGTTTCACAGCCCCCTGGCCGGCTCAGACACCCGCTTGTCCTGCTGCCACCCGTGGCAGCCACCGGCCCCCCGAGGAGCCCAGCTTCATCGGTGTGGCACCTGCAATGCAGAAGGATAAACAGCCTTGCGTGGGGCACAGTGCCCCCAGCAGCACCCCTGGGAGTCCCCCGGGGAGTGCTCAGCAGCAGGCTGAGCCCACGTGGTGGGGCCAGTGGCTCAGGGGACACCGGGTACAAGTGTTTACTTTGTGCATCCCTCCATCCCCACCACCCTGCCTGGGTGACACTGCGACCTTGGAGTCTGTCTTGCTGAGGAGCTTCTCCAGGGCTTTTTGTCTGTCCTAGTCCAGCAGGGACATTCTCTGCAGCAGGTCCTGCATCATCTTGCTCAGCTGGATCGTGGTGTGTTTCAGCTCTTCCTGGCTCGCTTCGGTCTCCAGTGCGGCCTTGTTTGCTTCCTGAGGGGGGCATGGTGTCAGCCATCGCCTGCAGACGCCAGCCCTGCTGCCACTCCCTTTCCTTGCTCAACACCCGAGCCCTGCTCCAGCAGCACCTTGCTCATGGCTGGGTGCTCCACCATCCTGTGCAGGCTCCATGTCTGCCATGAACCCCGAGCCACCTGCCCTCCCCTGTGCCTCCCTCAGAGCCAGTCACCATCATTTGTCCCCAGGTCCACCAGCATGGCATGGCCACGAAATCCTGCCACGCTGAGCCGCTTCGGAGTGGGGATGCACTGAGTCTGGGCAAGCCTGTACCCAGCCTGGTTCAGGTGCCAACCATGGCAAAAGTGGCTACGGAGCTGAGCCCAGGGCGGTGCTCGCCTGGGTGTCCTTGGTGTCACCCCACAGCCACTCCACAGTTTCCCACAGCTTTGTGCACTGCTCCTGCAGCTGCCCCACTTGGCCCAGCACCTCCCTGCCAAAATCTGGCCCCTGGGGAGGACAATTGTGGCTCTGGGTGAGAAACGGTGGCTACAGGGCCCGATGGAGGCAGGGAGGTGCACTTATGAGTGACCCCAGTGAGTGGCTAGTGAGGACATCCCAAGAGATGTCAGTGTGTCCCCGGCAAGTGGGTTGTTGGGCTGCAGCCCCCAGGCCCTCGGGCAGCCCCCTCCGCTAAGGCCTGGGCAGCTGGGTACCTTGTCGAGTCCATCCTGCAGGTGCCTCATCTCACCCAGCACCTTCTCCAGTTGGGCAGCCACGTCCTCCAAGGGCCCCAAGTTGCCTGAAAACAGACACCAAAGCTTTGCTCTGAGCAGTACCGGCTTCTGCAGCTCCCCAGCATGGCAACATCCCAAACCCAGCTGGCTTTATGGCTGCGGAGATCCCCTGGCACTGCTGCCAGGCCCTGGGCTTGGCCAGCACCAGTGTGCCGCAGAAGGCAGTGACCACGTCCCTGCCAGCCATGCCAGTGTGGATGGGAGTGAAGCAGAGGGACAAGGGGACTGCAGTGGCCTGGGGTCCCAGATGGCATGGCTGAGCGTGGGCCCACCATCCAGCAGTCCTGGCAAAGGTCTGGTGGCACAACCTGGCATGGTGGCCCCGCGTGGTGGGGATGTCAGTGCTCACTGTGCTGCTGGTGCTGGCTCTTGTGGTGGCTGACGTGTCCCCGCAGGCTCGTGCTTCAGCCAGTGCAGCCTGCATGGGTCTTCATGGACCAGCTCCTGCGAGACCTCGGGAGCAAGCTCCTGGCTGGAGAGCTTCTGAAACAAAACAGCCGCTGAGGTTTTGGGGAGAGAGAAGAGCCCCATGCCATCCTGGAGCCGAGGGGCGTTGCCAGCCCCCAGCAAAGGAACCTGGCACGCAGGAGCCTGCACGCACCTCACCAGCGGGCACACCACGGACAGAGCTCTGGTGCAGCTCCCGACGAATCTCCTCCTGCAATCAGGACAGAAATCAGCCCTTCCACCCTGCTCCAGGAAGAGAGAGCCTGGGCAGCCCCTGGGATGGGGAAGGAGATGCCAAACCCCCAGCACCATCCTGTCCCCAGCACTGTGCATCTCCCAGGGCCTCAAAATCTAGAGGGTAAAATCCTCATGGCACTGCAGGAGGGACAAGAGCAGCGGAGGTGGCCAGGACACTGGGGCACCCAGGGATGGATGTCTGCTTTGGTGGCTGGTAGGGTGTCAGAAGAACTTTGCGGGGCCAGATGCTCAGCCACACACATTGCTGCAGCCACAGCAGCCCTTGGGAAGCTTGAGTGCATTTTGCATAAGGATTTGTCAAAGCCTGACCCTGGAGAGCTTGGGGACAGTCCCAGGGACTGGGTGCTGAGTGCCTCTGCACATGGTGCCGCAGACGCCCACTCCCAGCCCCTCTGCCAGGGCTCCCCCTACTCACCAATTGATCCAGGATGCTCTGCAGGAGGTGGCTGTGCTCGTCCTGCAGCACCGACCGCTCTCGGGCCTTCTCCTGACCAGCCTGTTAAACAGAGGCATCAGGGGGTTCAGCATCCACAAGGCTTGGGAATGGTGGGGATCAGCATCAGCAGGGACAGGCAGGGATCAGCAGTGCCCAGCCCACGGCTGGGCACCATGCCTGCAGACAGTGTGTCTCCAAAACGCCTGGGCCCCAGGGCAGATCCCACATCTCCCAGATTGGCCTTGGGGTGGGAGCGAGCTCGAGCTCAGGACGTCATCCCTGTCACCCTGTGCATCCTTGCCATCCGTCAGGTCCCCAGGGAGCCCAACACCTCTGCCAAGAGCTCTCCAGCAACTGTCCCAGCTTTGGGCATGCACCTTTTGGAAACTGTCCTTCAGGAGCTGCAGCTCCTCCTGGAAGCCGTCAACGCTGGTTTTCAGGGAGCAGAAGGTGGTGAACATCTCCTGCAGCACGTTCATGACCTAAGGAATACAGTTTTGGCTAGTGATGCTGGGTCCCCGTGCTCTCTGGGGAACATAGAGAAAAGGGAGGCACAGCAAAGACTGGGCCTTGGGGATGTCTCTGGGACCCAACAGGGCTGCCACAGCAGCAGCCACATCTGGCCAGCCCATGGCCATGCCCATGGAGCTCCCCCAAACTGAAATGAAAGGTGCTCAGGAGGGGATAAGTGTCCCTCTTTGCCCCAGCAAAGTGCTGTCGCCTTTTCCCTTTGTGCTGAAAGCCAAGGTCACAACATGTGAGATGGGACTGACCCAGGCCTGACAGGTCTCACAAGGGATGAAGAAGTGTTGGGTTTGCTGCCGGCCAGCCCCGTGTTGCCTGTGGAGATGACAGACAGGCCACCACAACTCATCCTTACACCGTGACGCGTGGCTTGAGTGAGGAAGATGGCTCCAATGTTACCTATTGTTTCCCACTCAGAGTCTAAACTTGAACAGTCAAATGACTTGAACATGTGCCATGGCAATGTCTCCCACAGGGTCCTGCCTTGGTGTGGTAACAGCCTGCCTGTGAGGCAGCATTACTGTCACCTGCAGCCCAGCTGCTTGCTATGCCACAGGGAAGAGAGGGGAAGAGCCTTCTGGGAATGCTGTTGTTCCTGCCTGGGGAGTGGGGACTGTGTGCTCCAGCCCAGGGAGACCCCAGCCCCCAGGCATAGCTTACAGGGCAGGATGGGACCAAACAGACCTAAATCTCAGAGCAAGTATTGTTGGAGCCCCGGGTGCAGGTGAAAGTGACTGAAACAGCCTTTGGCCATTGGCTGTGTTAAAATACTGCTCTTAAACTAGTCTCAACTGTGGAGCTGGGGCCACTGGAGCCAGAAAGGTGCCTCTGTGCTTTGCCAAGCTCCTTGATCCTGGGGCAGCAGGTGTCATGACACGGGC